TGACTTCGCCCAAGTTGGCAAGTCTAAATTCGACCTCGCTCGAATATACAAATCAAGGTTGATTCCGCCCAAGTTGGCAAATCAGAAGTTAATCTCGCTCAAACTTGCAGATCCGAAGTGACCCCATTCGAACTCACACAATCAGATCCGACCTCACTCGGATCAAGCAAACTAGACCGCCCACATTCGAATTCTCAATTAAAAGATCAGGGACTCATCACGGAGAAATCCGAAGATCTTCTCCCCAAAAAAGGAAAAACAAAAAAAAAACGAGGAGATAGAGAAAGAAAGTCAAAAGATACACAAACAAAGGCGAAGCAACTATTTTATTTATATGTAGGTGCGCAACAGCCGCATCTTACAAAAAGCCAAAACAGGCCCTCAAGAAAAAGATAGAAAAAAAAACTAAGTACAAAAGCTGCAACAAAGTTTCACTCGATGTCATCTCCACCGCTGTTCTCCCCAGCATCATCATCATCAGAAGGAAGTCCATCCTCAATATCAACGCCCTCACCAGCCTCCGTTGTCGCAGGGTCGTAGCCGCATGCAATACGAGCCTCGCGTGCCTTCGCCCGAGCATCTTCAAAGGCGGCCTCAGGAACACTCCCCACCTCCCACAAACCCTTGTATATATGACGTTGGGCCTCAGCATAGACCCATTGTTCATACAGGCGGCGGGGAATAGTAGGCATTGCAGACTCTTGAGGAGGAGCTTGAGCTAATAACTGCGCCTTCTCAACTTCAAGAGCCGCAACCCGGTCTCCCAAGCTCGAAGAATCCCGATCAAGTTCACCAATTTGCTCCTCAAGCCGTGCCTCCCTTAGCGTGGCCGTTGCCCTCTCAGATTCCTGCTCGGACTTGAGGACGCGGATGGTGTCTTCTAGCGCTGCCGCCCTCGCCAACGCCGACACTCGAGCACCCTCGACTCTCTCCATTTTGGCCACTTTCCTTTCTAGCTCGCTCACTTTCTCCGTCTATTCTGCACTCAGGGCGTCGACTCTAGTAGCACTTTGCTCAATTTCAACTCGTAAGGATAGAACCTTCGCCTGAAGGTCCTCGCACTCCGCGGCAACCCCTTTGCCCACCTCGAGCTCTTCGTCCTTGGCGTGAAGCAGCCCCTCAAGCTCACTACATCTGCGGATAGACCGCATCATCTCCTCATCTCTTTTCTCCAACTCCTCCCTGATGGACTGGGTGCCAGCGCCCGCTCTAAGATGCTCGTGCATCTCACGGCACCTGTTGCAATACCGCCGATACTTCTCGGCCATTTTCAGAAAAATCTCGGCCCGCGTCTCAGCCTTACGAGCACTCTCGATCTCTAGCATGTAAGTCTAAAAAACATAGAGAGGAGAGAAATAGTCAATATAAAGACAAAGTTCACAAAACGGAGAAATCAAAAGGGAACTCACCCTTAAGGCCATCTCGGCCACGCCGCGTGACAACCCAGAGTCGCTGACCTCCTGAAGAGATTCGCTCTCACCGGCGGAGCATAGAAGATCGAACTATGGCACCAAATCGCCGGTGTCTTGCAACAGGTTGAGATCCGACGAAATTTCGAGTAAGCGGGAAGGGCCTTCCGCCCTTACTACAGTTCAGGTAAAGCCCTCCTCGAACATCCTCATGTCCTCAGGATCAATGTCGGATTCGGATTCATAATCCTGAACTACGACGCCCTTCCCCCTCTCAGTGGCCGAAGAAGGGGTGCGGTTCAGCCGAGATGACGATGGCCTGCTAGGAACAACAACAACAGCCTCGAAATTTCGTCCCTCCGTCACAATAGCCTCTTGAACGCTCGCAACGGGCGTTGTCTCCGCGTCCAGGCTGGCACCACCGCCGATTTCGGGTACCGACGAAGCAAGGTCGCCCCTCAAAGGCGTCTCGGCTAGAAAAGCCCCTTCCAACACTAACCTTCGTCTCTTCGACGGGGCCTCTCCACTACCGACGAGAGAAGATTCGCCAGTTGAACGGACTGCGGGGACCGGAGTCTCCGGTTGAGAAGTAACCTCCAAGTGTACGGCTTCGGCCGCGAGCGCGGTCCGACGAACGGCCAGACTCCTTACGCCCTCGCCTGCAGTAGTTCTTGGTGCGGGCCGGGCGGAAGTCATCGGTTGACGGAATGCGAGCGGAGGAGCCCTCGTCCTTCTCACTCCTCTCCGACATGTCAATAAGATATAACGACAAAGTTAAAGAAACTGTGAAACGGAGGACAAAGAAAAACCACAACGAGCCAACTCACCAGTAAGAGGCTTGCGCCCAAACTTCTTGTGGAAAGTCGCCCACTCACGAATCCCCATCGTGTGAGGGAGAATTGCGCTCACCCACTCGCGGATATCGGCAACTAGCGGGGGAGGAAGTCTCTCGGCTACAAAACAAAAGCAAATCCTCAGTGAAGTCGTTAAAGGGAAACGACCGACGACCGTCTTAAGAAAAATTGCACAAAGTAAATGGAAAGGAAAACTCACGAGCGAAATTCCATGTCTCAGGAAACCTTGCTGGGCTCGACACGACATGCTTTGTCCGAATACAGAAGAAGCTCTCCCAGAAACGGCGATTGGCCTTATCGTCCATCTTCACCACCAAACTCTTGGTTCCTCGATGACGCATATGAATCATCGTACCCCGAAGAAAATGGGGGGCGAAGAGGTGGAGCATGTGCCTTAGAGAAATTCCTCGTCCGGCCAGCTCCGTATACTTGATGAGCATGAGGAAGAGCTTGTACGTATATGGGGAGAGTTGAGCCGGGCACACCTCATAGAAGCGGCAGTAATCCACCACCAAGGAAGGAAGGGGAAGCGTGTACCCAATGACAAAGGGATACCCGTAAAACGCGCAGTAGCCCGGGCGGTGTAAGTGCACTATATCCTTATCCGCCGGCACCATTTCAATGTGATCGGGGATCCCCCATTTGGCTTTGAACGTCGTGATCGCCGCAGCGTCAATCGTGGAAGGAACGGGTTTCGGTTCATCTTTGGCAGGGCTGTTAAAATCGGTTTTCGCCTTCCGCAGCGGGGAACCACCTCATCCACCGTTGGAAACCCCTCATCTTCCACCACTTCCACTCCCTCTTTAAGTAGGGATACGTCATTCTCCGGCACCGGAGCACCTACAGCTTTATCAAAGTGGGAAGAAGTACTAGCCATTTGTTTTCTTTGATCAAAAGAAACGAAGATGATGAAGGAAAAGGATAATGGTCACAACAAATCCTGGCAGAAGCAGAAATATGAGAGATTAAGGAAAGAGGAGAAGACTTGTGAAATTCTCTCTTAAGCAATTGAAAAACATAACATTCAAATGAGAGGTCCCCCCTATTTATAGGGATATAAAAGTGCTGAGCAGGAAAACCAAGAGCCGCCAGTTAGAAAACGGAAAGGGCACGGGAAACGACACAATACCTTGAAAACGTGCGCCATAATGACAGATGGGGAATATTGATGACAACCTGAACTGACGTGACGGTCCAATTTTGAACTAACGTAACGGACCGACGCGATTTCCGAAGCGCCACGTCGCTACCTCGCCATGAGGTTTTCGTCCCTCGCATAAAGCATTCAGATTTCTCCCAATTTTTGAATCAACAGAGTCTGCCCATCGAGCTCGCCAAGAGGCGACCCCAACGGGCGGAGGGACTAACTGTATGGGTCAAAATCTGACCACACGTGGATTAGCGCTAAAAGAAATGGTAAGAGGTCGACTAAGTCGTGGTCGTACCCACAAGGTGTAATAACAACAAGCACCTCGGCCACTGCCGAGATCGAGCCATCAAAAAGCTTGTATGCCAAAGTAAATATCGTGGTACTTGAGAGAGGCGACGTGAAGTACAATCAAGGGATGAAGGCATTCTGGCTAAGGACCGTTGGACAAAAAGGGAATACTGATAATATATATATAGGAGGTAAGAAGATAAGAAAAGGGGGCTTCCTCTCCCAGGGAGAGAAGAGGAAAAGAAAACCAAGAAAAGGTTTAGATAGCGAAGACAAATCTCTGTAATCATGATTATTGAATCAATGAAGATAGATCTCGTTACTGTCAATGGCATCCCATCTTTTCCGTTTTTATCACCATATTACGAGATAATATGTCAAGAATGTAAGCCTATTATCTATACTTGATATTTTATATGATCCCAAAATTTTTTTAAGCTTAATTATATCTTACTCTCTTATTCAATGTGCTTAGATCTAAAGTTAATTATCCTTAGCTAGAATTTATCCTCTATTTTCTTCATTAATTAGTTTAACAAAAAGCTTAATACTTTTTGGTCAAACATTACCTCCTACAACAAGTAAAGACGACGTAAAAATTCTCATACCGGACATTAGTTAAACTCAAATTCTGATGGTCCACACCTTTACCAATCCCTGTTGGCTTACTATATGCAGATACAAGGGAAGATACAGATATTTTGAATTTAGCTTCTGTACATATACCCTGTAAAAGAAGTTATATACTAGCAGTAACTACTAGTATATAACTGATTAATTCAATCTGATAATCATACATTTGAATATAGTAAGCCAACAGGAATTTGAATATAGTAAGCCAACCTGATAATCATACATTTGTAGCTTAAGTTGAATTTATTTTATATTACATGTTTTAAGTGTGAAAAGAAGCTACTTATTTTTTTTAATGCATGTGTGGCTTCTTCACGGTCGTCAATGACGAGACTACTGGGGCACCATAAGCTGGCAGCCTGCAGTTTATTAATGTAAAAGGTAAATGACAAATATAATTTTCAAACTGAGACAAGTGAGTTCATTCTGCATCAAAATATGTGTTACCTACTACCAGTGTCGCATAAGTAAATAGAAATGAGGCAAAACTTAAGCCTGTCGCAATAGCTGGATTAACCACAAAACTAAGCTAATGCTTTTTTGGAGATCCAAATTATGGTTTAACCAAACTCAGCAAACTTCCAGCATCAAAATAATAGTTTTGTAGCCATGTAATTACCAAAGCTATAGCCTAGTGGAAGCAATGGATTGGAGCCCATCCACGTATTGGTTCCACAATATATGAAAAATGAAATTGAATCAAATCATTTCCGATCAATAAGTGTTAGTTCCATACCTCAAAGAAGCATTCTTTTTAATGTCCACCTAAAATTTAACTTCCAATTACATATGACATATTCTTCAGTGGCTCAAACCTGTGAAGAGTTTTGACTCGCACATAGTTTTCATGGAGCCGTGGAACTGTATTATCTACTCTATTATGTGCACAACATATGATTCTTGCCTTGTCAAATTGAACTGCATTTATGCACTTCTACAGCTAAAACCAATTGATCACTGTTGGCCTTCCATTTCAATGACCCGTTTTATATGAAGGGCAGCTCTCACAACGTTTCCCCTTGTTATTATTCCCACCTTCATTATACGACGATTGATTAGCATATCATGAGTTTGAGAAGTACAGATGCACAAAAGCTAGGTCTCAGAATCTTACCAGTTTACCATCACTATCAACAACAGGAAGCCGTCGGTATTTTGTTTTAAGTAGAAGTCTGACAAATAAAGAAGTAATAAATGAGACAAACCCTGTGGTGTCTCGTCCAACTAATGCTATAGAAACATAAAATAGGATAATTGAAAACTGTAGATTAAGTTGAAATAAAAAATTAATGATAACCTTGCTGCATCCTCAAGATTGGTAGATTCCCGAACTACTAGTGGAGCAGGTGTCATCAAATCACCAACCACTTTCCCCTTGGTCTTACTAATCAACTTTTGAACCTCATTGAATGTCTGCAATTATAAGTAAAAATTGGATGTGTCAAAACTTCAATAGCTTTGATTGTGGTGTGATAGCAATTTTGATTTTCTGAAATCAAGCGCATTTTCATTGCTCCTCCATACAGAAAAGCAAATATGTTTTCAAGTTGAGGAAGGTAATCGGGTAACCATATGTGCAAGTATTAAAGTAATGCAGAGGACAATTAATACCAACACTTCTATGTGCCATAGTTCATCGGGTAACCATATGTGCAAGTATTAAAGTAATGCAGAGGACAATTAATACCAACACTTCTATCTGCCATAGTTCAGCATGAAAAAAGTAAGATTAACTTAGAATTAAGAAAGTCTACTATTTGAAAAGGAGACAAATTTTGGACAAGGAAAGACGGAGGTTAGTCCATCATGGACGGAGTATCTGGTCAGAAACATCCCATAGTGAGTAAGATGAAATCAAAACCATATCACTTACTCCCTCCGTTCCAATTTATGTGAACCTGTTTGACTGAGCACAGAGTTTAAGAAAAAATGAAGACTTTTGGAATTTGTGGTCCTAAACAAGTCAAAAAGGGGTCCAGAGTATTTGTGTGGTTATAAAAGCTTCTCATTAAGGGTAGAATTGTAAGTTTAAGCTAAATTCTTACCAAATTTAGAGGGGTCATTCTTTTTGGGACGGACCAAAAAGGAAATAGGTTCATATAAACTGGAACAGAGGGAGTAATACATAATCATTGAGGTTCAGAGCTGGAACAGAGGATGCTAAACAGATAGTTCGACTAAGATCCCTAACCACCAGAGTTTACAAGATGCCGTTGGTTAGTGATTGGGATGTAAAAAAAGGGCAGCCCGGTGCACTAAGCTCCCGCTATGCGCGGGGTCCGGGAAGCGCTGGACCACAAGGGTCTATTGTACGCAACCTTACCCTGCATTTCTGCAAGAGGTTGTTTCCACGGCTCGAACCCGTGACCTCCTGATCACATGACATCAACTTTACCAGTTACGCCAAGGCTCCCCTTCTGATTGGGATGTAGCAGATGAAAAGGGCAATCCAATGGATTAACTTCTCAACAGCCATATCTCAGTCAGCAAGGATGAACCATGAAGAGCATGTTTCATATTTCAGCAATGTGCTCAAACAATGCCCTGTACAGACTCATACAAGCTGTCTATGTTGCCAGCTTTTGCTGGATGCATTTCCTATGTTCTTTTCTTGATCAATTAATCGAAGGTTTGTTTTTGAGCAGCTCGTGCAATCAGACTATAACAGAGTGCATTAAGGTTCGTGTGCTATAGTGTAGTCTACAATGCAACTTTCAATTGTTAATTTGTAAATGAAAACGCCAGTAAAACTGTTTGAGAACATGGTTTCTAATTGGCTCTTATCTTTCTCTATGCAATGCCTTTGAGAAGGAAAAAATTGTAACTTGTCATAGATTCTTGTTACAATTGTCAGATTGGATGAATTTGGATATAGTTAAAGAAAGGTTTGAATTTGGATAGGTAGCTAAAACTTAATTACCATTTTTATTCACTATACTAACCCAGATACTTGAGTGATCTTTATTGAAGCTCTAGGTTTGCAGTTATAAACATTTGCAACCAATTAAACAAGAAACATTACACTATATCCATATGCTCATAATAATTATCCAGCTCCCAGTGCTGGTTCCATCATTCCTAAAACTGGAATCCAATGTCCTCCCAACATAATTGATATAGTTGCTAATGTAGCTTTCACCTTTATTAGCAGAGGAAACAAAAAGGAATATTTGATATGCACTATACTTGTTAAAGACTCCAAATCCTTGTGATCACTACTTTAGTCCATAAGAAGTTTTCTGGAAGAGTAAAGGTTCGTATTCTTTACTTCCTGTTGTTGAATATAACCACTAACAATAATGCAGCAGATTACAAGAAGAGTTGGTCAACATTGTAAGTAAAACGATCATGAGGATCGTCCACAATTTCAGTCATCAATCTCTTTCTTTTGAGTTCCCAGACATTGGAAGCTATCCTCTCCCTTTAGGGGACAACTATACCACTTATGATTTAACCAACTTGCTAAATATCAGCAATTAAGCATCTCAAAGATTTCGTGTTAAAAGTTATTCTCTTCCAGTTAATTTGTTCTCAGGGTCTTCAAAATTATAAGGTGAAATATCCACTTCCCTGAAAGAGGGCTACAAAGCTAATGGTAATAGCCTTTCATGCAGAAATCAAGATTATCTGTACCTCCCAATAAGTAGAAATTTTTTTTAATTTGAGGTCTCACATTGGAAAAAAAAAATTATTTATATGGAACTAGCACATTAGATGATCAACAAGCATTCAAGAGATGATCTAACAACAAAACAAAATTTGCTTACTTTCCAGTTGCTGCCCACTTCCGGGAACATGTTTGCATCAGCTCCTCCTGTACCTAAGAAAAAGAGAAAGAGATGCACTCATTCTCCCCCGAAGACGACTTCAGAATCCCAAGTTAAAATACTATCAGCAGACTTTAATACCAAAAAGGTTCCAGGCCTTTTCGGAAAGGATCCTAACAAAACATGGGCCTAAAACCAATGGGTCTTTTCAAATCTCCACAGAATATCGTTCTAGCATCAGAACTAAAAATTATACCTGATATAGAGTCCAGAGCCAATAGATCATAATCAGAAACAAGACCAACCTGCAGCAGGAGAGAATTTCAAGCTTCTGAGTGAAATATCTTTGATTTATCATAATACAAGACAAGCATATTATTTTTGAAATATCTTTGAACTTAATATTTAAAGCTAATGTACATAATCATATCCATACGATATAAACAAGCATGAATAGGGGTTTTGGGTGCAGCTTGAGCACTCTTGCTTTCATATTTTCATACTGCCAATTACACGTTCTATTACTTAAATAAGTTTCTTAAAATTTTGAGGAGCCCTCAAAATACTTGAGTCCGATTCAGACTTGGAATACCAACAAAAAAAGGAATCAGTCTTTAGAAAGTAAAATTACCAAAAGTGAGAGATACAGAAGATATTCCTATTAACATGCCATCAAATAATTTAGAAATTAACTATGAATAATAAAAAAGAGCGCAAAATTTGGTTTCCAGAAGAATATTACTACGTTATAATTCATGGATGTTAACAAAAGAAATTCTAATTCATGTACAACCAAAGCGTTTGAAGAACTGCAAAAGTTTCAAAAGCAATTTTCAAACTTCTACTGCAAAAAGAAATACTTTATGGAAAATGAACAGAATTTTACAAACTTCAGTTTTCCTAAACTAGTTAATTTGATAAGACCAAGAAAAACTATAATGCAACACTGACAAAGAAAAGAAAGTAAATGACACAGATGGAATCATTAATGTCATTACTTTCAGAAGATCATTGGAAAGCCAACCAAAGAATAGAAACTTCTTCGATCAAGTCTATCTACGCCAAGTTCCAACAGAAACACAGAAAGAACATAAAAACATAAAACAGGAAACAAAAAAAAAAAACCAAAGTAGCTCTTCACTACTATTTGACATGCTGGTGAACTACAATAAAAATAAAAACTATCTGTAAAATGTAGCACTTACAGAGAAATATCAAGGTGTCAGAACAAAGATAATTTATCTTTAACTGGATTGTTTATCATATCACCAACTATGAGAATTTCCAATAAACATATGAAGCAAATAACACCCTCTTTATCTTTCATGCTCAATCGAATCCATTCAACTACTCTTACAAAATTTTTGGAGCAATTAGATGATCTGTTTTAAGCTTCTGTCTAAAGGCCTGCATCAGAGTAAATTATGAGTTTTTAAATGACAAAGATTATGCCCTATATCATTGTACTCTATCTAAAGTTGATGTTCCACATGTATTATTAGAGACCTCTATTCTCACAGAAGATAGATATCGCAGAGGACTTAAATCGTTCCTAACACTTTGATATAACAATATTTGTTTCTACGAACTTGAATGAGAAACAAGGGATAATTCTTGAAACAGACCTCAATCACTTCCTTTTAGTACTCTATTAATTAAATTTCTTTATAAAATCTCCCTCTTAGCTGTAGTGAAATTGAAGTGATTTTCCTATGTCACGTGAAAATCACTTGACACCTTTAACGGAAAACTCCGAAAGACAAGAAAATACAAGATGAGAAGTATAAAAACTATTTTCACAAGAAAAAAAGAACCTGACATGGGGTTTTCTTTCCCAAACCCCTCCCTAGCCCTAACAGCCACCCCCTTCCGATGGCACAGAGCTTCCCATAATACCTTTTTTAATCATGCAAAGCCGCCTGCGGCATAGCTTCCCCAACCAACCTCTACCCCTCTGGCATCGCCTTTTCCTCACCAGACGGACACACCTTCTTCTTCCCAGCACCCGTTGCCCACATCTCTTCCCCTTCCTTGCCAACCATAGCCACATCCCTACCAGTCCCTACAGAAGCCATTCCCCTCACCCTCCATGAAAGAGCAGCTAAGCTGTTTCCTCTCCTTTTTCTTTTTTACTTTCTTCTTGTTTTTGACATTCTATTTTTCTTTCCAATTATCTATTCTATTTTACTGTTCCAAGCTTCTGTTTTAATTCTCTTTTATACCCTTCCAGGTGTCAAGTGCTTTACACGCAGCAGGGCAAAATAACCCTTAGTTTCTGATGCATAGGACCTTTCAAAATTAAATGTTATAAAGTGAGAAGCAATTCAAAGGTTAAGGATGAAATCAAGACCAAACTTATAGTTCGGGAACCATTTCAGAAATTTATTCAAGGAATTAGCTTTCAAGTATCAATTATCAAAACTGAATATTACATAAGCAGGAAACACACGGTCGTTTAAGTGATATTTCCATCTACAATATTGCAAAGATTACATTAGAAAACAGAACTTACCAATTTCCAGTCATCATCAACCACAGGGAAACCAGTGATTCGGCGTTCTACCAACAATTCCAAGGCTGTTGCAGGAATAATCATGTATCAGGAATTAACAACATGATGGTAGCTAGCGATGAAGTTGAGCACTAAAATACCTTCATCTACAGATGTTGATGGCTTTACCACATGTAGCATATCTTTTCTCGTCATGAAATCACCTACTGTATATACACCATTTGTTGGCTGCCACAAGTATATATAAGCTTATCATTTGGTGCACATTCATGAGGAACTGGAACTTCTTGATGAAAAGAAGAATGCATTTATAGTTCAAACTAAAATCAAATTTAAAAAAAAAAGGAAAGGAAAACTTCTTGAAAGTAAACAGGTCTAGAATAAATATGAAAAACAGCCACATAATTCCATCAAGCAGCCAGTTGTGAGGAAGGTTTATGTGAAGGAGCCAATACGTGTTAGTACAATTTACTACGTGAAAATAATTTATTGCTATACTTAATGTTAGATGAAATGTAAAGTTGACTGCTTCTAACACCAATTGGTCAAGGATTGCATAATCTAGCTCACATAGCCAACTTATCAAAAGAAAGTGGACGTGCGAGATATCTACATTTCATTGCAGTGAAGATGATAGCAAAAGAGTTGCACGTATTCGCACATCTATGGAACACATCCAGATCTATAGCACAGCTTCAACTAAGTCATGTTTGCACCCTGCGCTTTTTGCTCTGCATGTCCAGTGCTGCTCGAGCTTGCTTTTTTCTAAAGAAGTTTGACTAGTAAATGGTAATAACCCGGGGAATATCCACTATGGCCAAGAATTTTGTCAGATTTAAGGTTAAATGCTTGAATCTAATAATCACATATTATAGTATTCAGTTTCTCTCCATGCTAAAATGAGACTGATTTTTTATCATAACATTAGGGTTGTGGCTTAGAAAAGTGCAAACTTAAATGAGTTCCTAAAATTCTGATGCATTTTATTTCCTAATTTAAATAACCTTATGTGGCATGCATTTCATTATTGCCAGTCCTAGAATGTAACTTGAAACATAAATCAAGCACACAAATAACTCTGGTTTAAAACATTCTTCATCAAAGCCAATTGACTTACCATGAGTTGTTAGGCAAGAGGCCACATTCTATTGTGTAAATAGAAATCGGTCCAAAAGATGAAGCTCAAATTAATTTTTGATGAGTTCGAACTTTTGTCAGACTAAGTGTGCGCTTCATGTTATCTCTTCTCCTAGATGACATAGAAAAAGTGTAGAAGGATACAGAGGAATGTTTCTCGTTTAGAAATACCAAACACTTTTTGAATAACCCCAAAATACAAGAATGATTGTTAATTTAAAAAACAGTGTGTAATGTTCCTTTTCCTTTTCAATTTCCTTTTAGACTAAGTACAAATGTGTATCAACAAAGCTAATCACACATGAAGCAAATATGTTGCTCTTCACAAGTGGAAAATATTGTTCATCCTAACTGTATTTTTTGATATCCAAGATTGATTAACACTACTTATAATAACTTAAATAAGTGCGAAGTTTTAATATTTTTTCTTTTCCATCCATCAGTATGTCTGATGTGTAACCTATACCAATTAATTTTAGGAAGCTAAAGAAGGTTATCAAATTTCTACATAACCATGTGTAAGAAACCAGTGTTTCAAGTTATTGAACATAGCTTCAACTTCTGAGCTAACTGTTGTGATTAACGTCAACAATTGCATATGCCATAATAGGTTGCTCATGAAGACCAGATTACTTAAAATCCACTTATCTAGGTAAACAAATCTTGTTTCTACTCTTGCATGTTTATGCAGAAGATTCGCATACAGAATTTGTTATAGATTTTACTTGTTATGGAAGGTTACTTAACATTTGTTCTAGGTTACCTATTAAATAGAATTACCTGCAATTACCGGACTTGATTGTGTAAAATTGCCAGTATAAAGTTAAGCATTTAATTTCAAGCAGTATATAAGATTTAGACAAGGAGGGAGGTATACCTGCGCAGAATTGGCCGTCAAAGTGTTGCTGCTGGCGGTAACGGAAAACTGCTTGCGGTGGACGGAGAGGAAACATTTACCGAAAGTAGCAAACTTTAGGCACGGAGGAGATAAGAAGGGCAGGCAAGGAAGCTGGTGGTGGAGAGCGGCGGACGAGCTGCTGCGGGAGAGTCCCGACGGTAATATAGATGCCATCGCCGGAGATGACTATTCAGAAGAGTGAGAATCTGAAGGCCGTGTTGGTTGTAGTTATCTTTTGTTGGCTCTACTCTATCCCATTGTAGTGTGTTTAAGTGGGAACATATACAAAAGAAGCTACTTAAATCATGTATTTTATTTTATTCTTGTTATAGCAAGAGACTTATATAAAAAAATTATGTTTTTTATATGAGGTAAATATCATGATTCTATCTGTTTGTTGCTCTTCAGTTCTAAAGTTCTTATACAAAAAATGTAGGAATATTATTAGCTAAGTTGCTGCAAAATATCTGGTCAGAAAATAGACAGTGGAAAGTAACACATATGGTCTCAAAGATTCTAGATATTTTAATACTCCTCTATCTGATGTAGTTTGATTTGATAACAATTTTTTTTCGAAAAAAGAATATTTTTACTATTTGTGATCTTAAAAGCTTAAAGAATAAAATTATTTATCCAAAAAATCGGATAACAATTAAACTTATAATGTGGTTTTAAGGATACGTGATTTCACCTAGTATCAATTGATAATGCAAAGAGTAGGTTCATGAGTAACATTCGGCTCCATAGTTTCTCTCTCTAAAAATGAATCCACAACCCTATGAAACTTCAAATACAATACCACCTAAACCACGTGACATTGAACATGCAAAATCCATACAGTATGGTTTGGAGAACAAAGCAACCTTCAAGGATATGCTAATATCCTTAGACCCAATGATCTTTGCACCTAATCTGAGCCAACCCAACATAGACCTGACAGGAACTCTCTCAGAAGAAAGAACGTTCGAGCAATCAATAACCATTAGTACACGAGGCATTAAAATGATCTCGTTAACAGAGGAAGATAGACAACGAATTTATAAGCCCTGGAAGTGTTTTATCATTGCGAAGCTCGTTGGAAAACGTATTCTGCACCATTACTTAAAAAAAAGATTCAAGAATTATGGCGTCCAACGGAGGATTTCTCATCAATTGATCTAGGAAAGAACTATTACATAATCAAATTCAAGAAAAAAGAAAATATGGAGAAGGCTATTCATCAAGGTCCGTGGTTCATTAATGGCCATTTTCTTTCCATTACAAGGTGGAAGCCAAACTTTGTGGCCACAAAAAAAAAATTAGCTGCTTCAGCAGTATGGATTAGGCTTCCATAACTACCAACGGAATTTTATGATGGGAAAATTCTGGAAAAAATTGGAAATGCAATTGGACGTTTACTAAAAATTGATGTTTGTGCATCAACCACATTACGAGGTCGTTCTGCAAGGCTTTGTGTGGAACTTCCGCTGGAAATTCCAGTGCAACCTTTCTTGTATGTTGGTCACCACAATCAATACATTAATTATGAGGGTGAAAACTTCCTTTGCAAAAATTATGGAAGACTTGACCACAATTAGGACAATATATTCATATTCAAAAGAATATTAAAGAAAGCTCGTACCCAGCCAAAGAACAATCTACAACAAGGGTGGAAGATCAACAAGAGGAATGGAAAACGGTTTCTTTCAACAAAGGAAAGAAGCAAGGAGTGAGAAGCAATCAACAAACCACCAATAATCCGGCGGAGAACAACAGTGGCCCAGGCATCTCGGTTAAATTGTTCAATGAAAATACATAGGACACTCAAATTTTGCAATAAAAATCTAAACATCCAACAAAATTCCTAGAAGACAATGGTGGAAAGACTCCGGCCAACTTGGTTAAGGAAAAAACTCCATTCCAGTTCAAAATAACTTCTCACTCCTTGATAGCAAGCAAATGATTTTAGGTAAAACCACTAATAATAAAAAAAAATCAAAATCAAAAATTAACCATGCAAATGAACATATGTCCACTCAAAAGAAGGACATGGACATGCTGGAAGCTAACGTGTCTACTATTAGTAATAACGGATAGTGCCATGCAACCAGTTACCCCTAAAGACATAATTAACCCCTTAACTAATTATAACCCTACACTGCTTATCAACCGACTAAAACAAGAGGTCGATACTAATCCTTCTTTAACCAAATCTAGTGAACAAAATCTTTTTAATAGATACGAAAACGATATGCCCCAAAGCATGTCGTCCAAATGTCATCTAAAGAATGTAATGATGAACAAATGGCTTCCACCCTAGAACACGGAATGGATACTATATCCATGGAATATCAAGCTATAAAGAAAAACCTTGGCCACCCAAAAGCCATGCAATTTGAAGCCCCAATCATTACCCTATCTACCAATCTCTCCCTCACCACTGGTAGCTCTAATCCCACGCCTGCCAGTGAGCCTTTAAGTATACAACAATCTATAAAAAATGCCAAGACTCCCCTCAACTCTAAGGAGAACGCACAGACTCATCCAAATACTAAGACAACACAGAGCTCAAACCATGGAAAACCTATCTCATTTCCCTCCACAACCAGAAAATCCTCAAATTGTTTATGTCTAACCTCCTCAAGCTCAGGATTACCAGCCTTTCTCGTGGATGGAAATGGGTCTAATGGGACATGCAGTCTCATTCAATCTTCAAATCAATGTCCAAGAGTCGGTAGTTGTCCTCCACAACACTCAATATCTAGCCCAGTTGGTAACTGAAGGAATGAGGCTTGCAATGAACAACTACCTGAATAAGGTTTGGCTAAACAATATTTTTCACCCCTTAACACCATCCCTAAGCCCACACTTAGTGCATGTAATGAGAAACCAGCGGAATATGCCACCACATTTCAATCCAATCCATCCCCAGAATGCCCTCCTAGACATGCCCTTCTTTTCACCGGAAATGCTATCCCACTAAATCCTATCTTCATGCCATGGGAGAACACATAGCAAGCTCAGGAGTAACCAGTTTCTTCAATATACCAACAAGCATCACCACCATACCACCAGGCAATGTAGGAACCAGAACTCGAAGAAGCAGCCATGGAGGAGGAAGAGGAACCTCTCAACCTAGGCTTAGAGCAAGTCCTAGAGTTCTCAAACCTAGACGGGGTAAAAGTGTATCTCTTCACGGTCATGCAAGAGAAGAGGCATGTGCTCAACTGCCCACTAGCACTGTACAAGTGCTCGATGGACATCATACCACCCCAGGATCCAACAGTGGGAAACAGAGCCATGATTCTAGTTCCATCACTAAGAAGGAATCCTGTCCTTCTGGAGGAAGTGAGGGAGAATGGGGATCCAGCAAGCATGAACCTAAACCTATCTATGAATCGTCCAATTAAATTCATTATATGGAACATAAGGGGTGGGAACAATGGCAACTTTAGGAGGAATTTTAGGGAGATGATAGACACACATGCCTTGCATGGTGGCTTTGTTGGAGACTAGGATGGAAAATCATGCTGAAATGTTTCATGATTTTGGCTTCTCGGAGATAATAGAAGTGCCAGCTGAAGGATAGGTAGGCGGCATGGTGGTAATGTGGAACCATAAAGTGGTCACTGTCCACAACTTCATCCGTAGGAATCAAAAAATTCATGCAACAATAGAGGTACTACCTACTCGTAAAATTGGCTTTTTTTCTTCAATATATGCTAGTACTGATAAGTATAATAGGAACATTATGTGGGAAAACCTAGAGAACATTAGTACAAGCTATAAAGGGCCATGGATGGTAGAGGAGATTTTAATTACATTTTGGGTTCAAATGAGAAATTTGGTGGAAGACCTATTAACAATAATAGAGCTAACTACCTATGGTCTAAGATTAACAACTGTAATTTAATAGATCTTGGCTATAATGGTTGCAAATATACTTGGTCAAATCATAGAGAAAAAAATAAGGACCTCATTATGGAGAGATTTGACAAATTTTTAGGAAATGAAAGTGGATAGAATATTCCCTAAAAGCTCTATAATTCACCTTCCTAAGACTTATTCAGATCACAACCCAATCTTAGTAGAACTAATTCCTAGAAATAGATAAGGTCATAAACAACCTTTTCGACTAGATACCTTTTGGTGTAAGCATCCTGAATTCCAAACCATTGTTAAAAATAATTGGTGTGGAATAGACTATTGTAGTGCTAGCAAAAACTTTGTGGATAGTATTAGGCCTTGGAAAGACAGAACCCTTGGTGATATAATGGATAAAAGAGGAAAATTCTAGCAAGGCTCTACGGAATCCAAAAATCCAGTATTTATACCTATAGTAATTTCCTTCAAACATTAGAATATAATGTAAAAATGGATTATAATGACATCCTTAGAATAGAGGAGGATTATCAAAAAATGAGATCTAGGATAATGTGGCTTAACGAAGGTGATGCTAACACAAATTTTTTTCACATTTCAACATCTAATAGGAGAAGAAGAAATAAAATTAGTTATTTCAAAGATGATGCTGGAAATTGGCTCAATGAACACCACTTGATCATGTCACACGTTCTTAATTACTTTACTAATGCCTTCACCACCTCTCACTCTTTAACAAACTGGAATAGTCCACTGAAAAGCCATTCTACACACCTTAATTTAGACCTTACATCACTAGACAATCCTTTACTAGATATTGAAATTAAGAGGGCTATTTTCCCTTTTAAACCCTTCAAAGCCCCAGGCCAGATGGCCTTCACCCATTTTTTTCCAAAAATACTGGAACATTATAGGACATTCTGTAATGAATCTTTGTCATGATATTTTCAAAAATCAGGAAATCCCCAGAGACATAAATAGAACCTATCTTTGTCTCATCCCAAAAATTCCTAATGCTAATAACATTAAAAACTTTAGACCAATTGGCCTTTGCAATATTATTTACAAATTAACTAGAAAAATACTTGCAAATCGCCTAAAACCATTTCTAGAACAAATTATCAGTCATTTTCAAGCCAGCTTCATGAAAAGTAGAAGAGCTTTTGATAATGCAATCATCATTCAAGAATTTGTTTCCAATCTAAAGAAACTGAAAGGCAACCAAGGCCACATGATCCTAAAAATTGATCTAGGAAAAGCCTTTGATTGTTTAGAATGGTCTTTTGTACATCACACTCTTAGATACTTCAAATTTCCTCCTAAATTCTCCAAACTTTCATTAAATTGCATATCAACCAGCTCAATAGCAATATTGGTTAATGCCTCCATCACTAAATTCTTCGAGCCAAGTCGAGGTACCAGGCAAG